CCATGATTTTCATTACTGCACATTTTTTTTGAAAATCTAATAATATCGTTGACTACATCCACTTGATAACAACATGAAATTATGTATTGCTGCTGATTGAAGGAACAAGAAAATCGAGAGCGCTACGTCCGCACAATTTAGTCCATTGATTTTGGAATCTAAGATGGTTCCAACAATCCTTATTGAAAAAAAAAAGCATAGGACATTTATTTCAAAATGTTTGTAGTGCTTCAGATTCTTACGGTAAGATATATTTAATAAAAAAAAAAGAACTAATCAATATTGTCATATTAATGCATTAATTTCATTTATGCACTATTCTCTGTATCATTGATATGATATGATATTGATGAATTTATTGCCACAAATTCCTTGCAGGTTATGTGACGATAAAAGAACTTGAAGATCAATTAATGGGTGTAAGAATTCGAGAGGCGGATACTGTTGCTGAATTAAAAGAAATGCGCCAAAAAGTGATGGAGTTAGAGACACAAGTTAGTATCTTGATTACACTTATAATTTGTTGTGAATTTTTCAACATTGAATACAGAAATTAAATGAAATTAAACCAACATCAATTAATCAGTTTTGTTTGTTAATAGCTATGAGAATTAGACATATTCATTAATTACTATGCCTCATATAAACTTGCATCCAACTACTTTGGTTAAACTGTTAGTAATTAACTGATCTTTACTTCTCTATTCATTAATCATTCATTCATAAACAAATTACAATAAATGGTGAAACGAATTTTTGCACGTTGAAAATCCGGTTCAACCGATTTTTGTTTCACTAATTCATTAATCATTCATTTGCAAACAAATTACATTAGATGACAAATTGATTAAGTTTGAGTAAATGTATTTAGTGGCAAATATTTTGTGGAGATATATTATTATTTCTATATCATTCAAGAAGATCTAACTTTTTTAAAAATTCGTTTCATTCAACTTTGACTTTTCATTCTCCTATTAATGAACAAATTAAAAATTTGTGCACGAAAATACAGACTTATGTTTTTGTACAAAAATAAATTACCATAAAATTAGATGATTGAAATGAATGATTTTATCGAAGAATTAAAAAAAGGAAAAAGACCCCATATATTTCAATTTAAATTATCCCCTTTTTTCTACAGAATCATGTTTGTACAAATCAACTCAAACGTCAAGATGAAGAAATGAAACGATTAAGAGATGAAAAAAGTGATATTTTGCAGGTTTGTTATTCATTCTAATTATCTTTTACAATTTCAATCATGATTATTGTTGTTGTAATCATTGAAAGATTCGTTATCATTTTCATTATTTAAAATTATTATATTGTTTGATTAACAAATTTATATTTTTAGCCGTTATTATTTAATTTTTAAATCGTAATTACTTACTCTATTTTGGTTTTTTTTAGCGTCAAAAAGAACTTTCTGATCAAATTAAGGACGAACGACGTAAAGCGATTGAAGTAGAAAGTGAATTAAAGGAACGATCAGTGATGGAACGATTAAAGTATAGTGAAGCAATGCAACATATTGCTGATTTGAAACAAGCTATTACTCATCTTGAACTTAGAGTAAGTATCCTCCTCGATTTAACTGCTAGAAATTTAGATAAACATTGAAGTTATCTTGAATTTAAGGTAAATCGTTGTTTACCAAGCTATTGAAAGCTTTAGCAGATATTGAAGACAACAAATACATTCATAATAGGCGAGAGTATATTCCATGCAATTGAAATTCGAAGTGGTCTTTATAAGGTTATCTATTTCATTTTTATTTTAATATTTAATTCTCGAATGATTACAGAAAGCCGAGAAATGGACACACACTCAGTTAAGAGGGAGCTCAGTTTGTGATTTGGACGATGATTCTTTAGTTCGTTAACTTTTGTTTTTCTTTTGTGATAAATTATTGAAATTCAAAATGATACCCATATGGTTATTATTAATTAGAAATTTTCAAATTCACTTACTCAAATTATAGTATTTAATTATATTATTTGGAAATTTTGAGTTCATTTATCTGAATTCTGGTATTTTCAACTATTTTATTTGGAAGAATTTTTATTTATTCGAAATATTGTATTTTTAATTACGTTAATTAGTAAATTAATTTCAAGTTTGCCTACTTAAAATATTATATTTCAGTTGTATCCAATTAAAAACTGTCATTCCATTGTATAATTTAGTACCATTTATTGTCTTCGTGCAATTGACTTTAGGTGTAATGAAATAAATACTCAAATAAGTTGACATTTTATCAAATTTTTTGATTGTCATTTTGTTAATTAATTGATAAATCCCAAAATTTTGTGCGCTGATATATAATTTCAAACTTTATTTTTATCATAATCAAATCTCTGTACTTTTTTCTCCTCTCAAAAAGCTAGTTGATTGATATTACGTTTGTCGAACTAATCAAAACAGAAAAAAGGGGAACGAAGGGTGCACAAAATTCTTCATTTTTTGTTATTTCAGACGGGTGCAATTGGTTCACATGTTAGCGGTGATGCTGTTTCGATCACCAGCGATGAATTAACAACATTAATTGCTGATATGCAAGTTCGAGTTCCTGAACTTCCGGAACTTTCAGATGAAAATGTAATATTGGTGAAAGAGAATGGTATTATTCCAAGTTGTAGCAAGGACCATCTTAAAGATGATATACGACGGATGTTGGAAGAAGATGGTAATGATACAACAGATAGTGGTTTTCAAACAAGTGATACATCATAGCTTCATCATTTTTAATTAGTTGAAAGAAAATGGGAAAGGTTTTTATCAATTGATTGATTTGTTGATTTATTAGTTAATAAATTCTAAGCCTTTTATACGCTGATATGCTGTCATTATTGCCAATTGGTGAAATTTTTTTTGCGCTTTTTCAATTCGGTAATTCAATTTCTTTTATCATTCTAGCCAATCATCAGCTTTTTATCAATTTTTTCTTTTTTCTTTTTTTTTTGTGAAATCATAAAATGGCAATTTTTGTATTTTTTTTCCTGTTGCTTTTTTCTTTTTTCTATCATATCAAAAGTAATTAATTTTTTTTTAGGAATTGAATTAAATGTATTATACAATGCATAAGATGTATTATGATTTAAAATATATTTTACATTATTTCAAATTTAAACTTATGCTTTGCTTTTATGTGATCAAAGCTTTTTCTGTGATATTTTTATAAAATGAAAATTATGAGTGTATGTAAATAAAAATATTGCAATGTTTCTTTTTTTTCTTTCCCTTATTTTATTCACTTTTTTCATTTCATTTCATCTCTTTTTTGTTCAATTCTCTTCGTATTTTAATCTTTTAACCTTTTTGCCTACTCGTTGGTTTGTTTATTTAATTATTTATATTTGTTTGCTTGTTTGTTTTAGCTGTTTATTTGTTCAAAAATTTTTTTTATTATTTAAAGTTTTATTCTAATTTAGTAAAATTTTCCATTCCATTTCGTTTATTATTTTATTTCAGTTTTCTTTCTTTTTTTCATTTGACTTTTTAATAATTATCTGACTTATGAAAATGGAAAAACGATAAAGAAAATGAGATAGTTTCATCAACAATAACTGATATGAATATTTGATTTAGGTATTTATTATTTTTGAAAAATGAAAATTTGCATAAGTTAAAAATAAGATATACTTCAAAAATAACATTTCCATATTGTTACTATTATTATAAAAATTATTGCAAAAATTCTTACGATTATTTTTATTCCTTATTATTATTTAAAATTTTTGCTTGTTCATCTCTTTTTTTTCATTTCATTTTCAGTTTCTGTATTTGTTTTGTTTGTTTTTGTCGCTTTTTTGATGCATTTACTATCGCTTATTATTTTTTCCCATATCAAAATATGAAAATTGATCAGTTAAAATTGCTTCATTTATTGCCTTTTGAATTTTTGAAATTAGTCGCCTTACTTATTTCAAATTCCCAAATTTTCCTTTTCAACAATAATGTAAGTACTGCATTGTGATTTTAATTACAAAAATGAATTTTTCCATGCTCATTTTGCTGTTTTTTTTTTTTTTGTAAAAAATTTATTCAAGCAATCAAGAAAAAAGAGTCGTTAAAATTGAAGATGAATTGATTAATATGATGAATTGAAATTATTCAATTACTAAATAATTTCGATACCAATAAAAATATTTAATTAATTGCTAATTCCCATATCATCAAAGTTATTATTTCCAAAATTTCCTTTGCTTTCTGTTTTTTACTAGTATGGGATAATTTGATTTTTCATTTCATTTGCTTTTTAAAATTTGTTTTTTCTCTTATTGTAATTTGAAAGGCATGATTTTCTTCTTTTTTTTTTGTGATTTTACAATCAATCACTTGAATTGGTGTATTTGCAAGAAAAAAAAAAGAAAAAAACCATAAAATTGAATAGAAGTAAGAAGGTTTAAATAAACTCAAATCAAAAAAGAAAAAAAAAGGTAATTTAACATTGTTAAGTTTTTCTTAATTGCTCTTAATCCTACCAGATATAAACGAAAATTCACAATCCGGTGATTCTGTTATTGTTGTATGTGCATGAACAAGAAGAATCATTCTTCCACATCAAATAACAAGCAATTATAATACAATCATCAGTATATTTATTGTTGCAGAAATAATTTGTTGTTATTTTATCTAACAATAAATGCGAATTGAATTTGTACTATAAATAAATAAATTTTGCTATATTATTTACATAGCAAAAAGTATATGTAAATGTTTTTTATTCTTTTTTTCTGCTTTATATGCTTAATGCATTATTGTATAAAAGATAAAAATATTAATAAGACATTAAAGAATTTGCACTATTTTCGTTTATTTATTTTTGCATTGTCATTTTTGTTTGGTTTTTCATGGGTCAATAAAAAGAAAGCAATTTTTATTTGTATGTGAAGAAGCAAAAGCATGACATATAGGAATTTGGACAAGAGAGATAATCAAATAAGAATAGGATTTTATTGTTCAAGAAAATAAAATTCTTGTTTAATTTCTATGGATCAATAAAAAGAATTATTCTAATTTGTATGAGGAAAAATTATGTATTGTTGTCAGATTCTGGTAACAATTACAGCTCCGAATTCTTATTTGATCAGAAATTAAGGTTGATGAAACGAAAGAAACTACAATACAAATTGAAATTTTGGTTGATACAAAATCAATTGATAATATTAATTTGTTAAGAAATCTCATTGTTATGATACACTTTTATCAAAAATCCTATAATATCTACTAAAACATTTTTTTTTTTTTAGATTAATTTCCTACTTATTTAACTGATCGTTATCAATCATACCAGTAGAATCACACCATTATCATCGTAATCACTAAATTCTAATAGAAAAAATTTTTTATAAAAAAAAATGTTGAAAAAACTAGGAATTTTAAAAATATTTCGTGAAAAAAGAGTAAAAATGAAAAATGAGGAAAAAATTATGGACAAGAAATGCATTCAGATATTGACATTTGATCCAAAAATTGGGCTTTTATTTTTCTTCTTATCTTTTGGCTCAAAGATTTGTTTTTTTCTCTCCTAGAACTTCCTATGTTTACCTTTTGTGACTAAATTTAGTTGCTTACATTGCATTGAATATACATATATATATATATATATATGAAGTAAAATTATTAAACAGAATGTGGCCAACAAAAATGAGCCAGAAGCATGAATCTCAACTTCATTTTTGAATAATGAAAAGCATCAAATACATAACAAAATAATCAATAAAAAGCATGTGAAAAATTGAAAAGAGCCTGATATTTGTTTTTCCTTGTTTACTTTCTTCAATGAGCCATAAAAAATTTGCGCCATACTTGAAGAAAGCATATTTCTTTAAAAAAAAAGAAAGCCAAAATAGTCTATCATTCATACTCTTCTCAAATGTCACCATCATTTAACTCAAAAATATTTATCAAATGGTTGAAAATGTTTTGAATTGTTATTCATATGAGAATGAGAACGATATTTGTGAAATATCATCGTGACGTAAGCGCCAATAAAACTTGTGATATGACACAAGAATTATCAGTAATTATGAGCAATTCCTGAAAATTCCTATTAACATTTTTTTTCTTTTAATTTTTAAAGAGATAACATTTTACAAGCAAAATACAAAAATCGTTCAAATTTATGGAAATCAATTTGAAAATTATTGCAGTTAAAAATTAATTAATTAAGTTTACAATTATGGTTAAGAATAATTGAACTGAAAAAAAAGTGAAGGAAAAAATCATTTTTTTTTTTTGTTATTTTTGCTACTATTAAAAGGCATCATTTTTCCAATCTTTTCGTTATTTTTTTATTTTCTTTCAATAATTCTGATCAAAATTGGTCATCACAGATATGTGTCTGTCTGTGTCCGTCCGTTTATCGGTCTGTCTGTACACCACCATACCAATCATTCACTTATTTAATGTCATAAAAAGGAAAGATTCATTTCCATTCATTCAACGTATAAATTTGTTTATTCCAACAAATTTATCATCCGAAACTATTTTCATCATTCTTTTATGCTTCATATCATTCAAATCAATTCTTCGTGCCAATTACTTGTAATTAATCGCTTTCTAATTATCGCTCTCCAATTTATTTCTTGTTAATTTTATTTCTAAATTTACTATCTCTTCTTGTTGATATACTCAATTTCACTTGTTTATTGTGAAATTCACCCATTCTATTCTTGAATTTACAACTTCTCCTTAACTTCTTTTCAGCTTTTTAATTTTGGTAAATTGTAATTTTATTCAAAAAGTTTTTTTTCTCTTTTACATTCATTCATTACTATTAATATGGATAATCCTTTCAATTTTTAATTTATTAATTACTTTTCGAAAAAACTTTGAATTATAATTTTTTTTTTAACAAAAATTATAATAAAATTTGACATTTTGAGAATATTTTCCACAAATTTCTGCGTCTTGTAACACAAAAATGGTAATTTTGTAAAGGTCAATTTTGAAAAAAAAAACTTTATGTTAATTAATAGGTTAATGGATTATTTAGTTTAGTAAGAATCAATATGAATTTCAAAAATTCCATGTTTTGAAAAATTTTTGATATTTTTGTATGAATTTCAAACAAGAAGATAAAATGTAAAAATTTTTAAAGCTCGAAAAAATTCCTGAATTAGCATGAAATTGAAATCTATAACGTCTTGATTTTTCATGCTATTTTTTGATGTTCGCAACTTAATTAAGTAATTTCAAATTTAAATTGATTTTAAATTATGAATCGATTTTTAGATTTTAAGTCGATTTATTCAAATATATTAATTACAATAAAGTATATGCGAATATTTATACATTTTTATATCTTTACATCAATGAAAATTTATATTCAAATGATAGGACATTGAATGATTTTTTTTCTTCTCTCTCTCGCTCTCTTTCTTTTTTCCTCTTTCTTCTCCTTCTTGAGCCCTCCTCTCTCTCTCTCTCCTCCTCTCTCTAATCCTTCATTTGTCCAAGTAAATAAAATGGTTTTGGCCAAAAAAATGATCCAAACATTGAAATCATTATTTTCATTTTTTCCATTTTCATGAAATCTCTCTTCTCTCTTTTCCCTCTTTCTTCCCTTTTTTTCTTTGTTTATTTCTTTTTTCTAAAAAATTTCTGATTTTTATTTTATTTTTTCCAAATTATCCTCAAAATTATAATTTATACAAAGGAATAAAAGTTGAAAAAACTAATTTAATATATTTTATATTTATATATTTATGTACATATCATATGAGATT